TCTTGCTGTCTTCTTACTTCAGTTGACCTGTTTTTTTCCCGCCCTGGCCACTACTGAACTGTTCAGCTGCTCTTTCTTCAGGGGCTGCAGCACTGCCCGCCTTGCTCTTCCACAACCTTGTCTGCCTCAGCAGTTACTGCCCCTGCCCCTGTCCCACCTCTGCGGCCACCTTACTGCTTCTCTTTGTGTTACTAGCTCAGCACATACTCTGAAAAGATCATTCTGTTTGGCCTAATGCTACAACAACAGGCAAGCTGCACAGGGAGCACAGGAAAGTGTCTTCCAGCTAGTGGAATGAACCCCATAGTCTTGATAAAATAGCCTGAGTCTTTGGATCAATCACAGTCTGTGGGATTCATGTTTTGGACCAATCACAGCCTTGCCTTTTAGCAGTAGCCACAACTGTTCCAGTCTGTTTGCTCAAGGCAGGCGAGGCTGCAAAAGGGTTCAATTGCTGCCGTTTGGGGAGTCAATTTCCCCACCTCCCACCATCTTTGCTTATTTACAGGAAAATGGACATCAGGAGTACTTACACTCAGAACTTAAAAAACTTACTGTTAACACTAATAGAGATTTTAAACAGATTTTTTTTTTTTTTTTACTGGCTTTGCCAGTGCTTCTCCAGTGACCAAGGGAGAGGTGGGTCCCACTCATCTGTCTCAGCAAGACTCTGGGGTTGGGCCTAGCAATGTAGTTTAAGCCACAATGTGAAGAACAGATTTTTTTTTTTTTTTTTTTTTTTACTGGCTTTGCCAGTGCTTCTCCAGTGACCAAGGGAGAGGTGGGTCCCACTCATCTGTCTCAGCAAGACTCTGGGGTTGGGCCTAGCAATGTAGTTTAAGCCACAATGTGAAGGTAGGGCTTGATCAGGTAGCCTGAATGCCCACCTGTTCCCACAAAGCATGTATCTGTTGGAAACTTATTCTGAAAAAGGGTCTTTTCAGATGTAATCAGTTTATGCTTCTAAAATGAGATCATCCTGGATTGGTCCTTAAATCCAACAGTGAGTGTCACTATCCAAGAAGAGATGAGAAGTCACAGGGAGGAGGTGAAGATGGGGGCAGAGCTTGGAGTGATGCAGTGACTACCTAGGAACTCCAAAGCTTGCAAGTGGTCACCAGCGAGGGGACGGGGTGGATTCTCTTGGTGTCCTCAGATAGCCCTGTAGACACCTTGATTTCACACTCTGTCCTTCAGAATAAACTTCTGTTGTCTTAAGTCATCCAGCCTGCGGTCATTTGTTAGAATGACCTGAAGAAACGAATACAAACATCAACCTCAGGCAAGAGGAAACTCATCTTTATAGCTTAGTCTCCTCCACTATAACAGAGATTTTAATAACCCTGAATGAAAATCCAGGTTTGCTGTTAGGATCGAAATGCCTCATGTACTCGGCACTGGTGGAGCATGGATGTCACTGGCATCAAGATCATACAGGTACAGGTACTAGCACCGAGAAGAGTCTGGGTAATATCTCTGGGTATTGGGATCAAAGGTAATCATTTGATTGTGTTTCTGTGCTTTAAAAATTATTTCCAAGGGACATGCATTGATCTTGCAATCAGAAGGCATTTGTGAATTTGAAAAAATACTTTATATTGTAAAGGCGACATGTCTTACACGCTCACTGTCAGAGAAAGAGAGCTCTATTTTGTGTTGCAGTGCTGGAATATTTAGATAACATGCTGCCTGGAAGGAATCACATGGTTCAAGGCTGATTATTAATACCTGAGAACTACAGCAGGCATATTGCTGTGGGAAACCAGCTTTCAGCAGCCAGGTGCTCTGAAGAGCTGTGCCCAGTTGCTCAGCACCAAGATGCCTGACTTGTCTCAATGTGCGTTTCCATTTTCACACTCAGTACTTGTACAACTGATCATAGCATGAACCGTCCCCCCTCCATTTCATTTGGCACTCTCTGTGTTCTAAGTCTTTGCAAACTGTCTATTACTCCCTTCTGGTGTTTTCACTACAAGCATATACAGCACTTTAATGAAATCAACCCATTTCTCTTATGAAAAGCACTACTTTGGTAATGAAGTGCTAAATCCATCCCAAACATCACTGAGTTAAGGAGTAAGGATGAGAAAGCACTCGGCCTAAAGGAAGGACAATGGCACGAGCATGGAGAAGCGCTGACCAGCACCCACGATGTGGCACAAGGGTGCCCACGCTCCCAGCTCTTCAGGGATGAGAAGATGTTGACTGTTTCATCCCCTATAAAATTGCTTCCAAAGCCTGATAACAGGCATGTGGGTGGCAAGCACTTTTAAATAATGACTGTGAATTTGCAAAATATACCATCCACAAATTACTGTTATCAGCAGCACCTTAAGGTCACATGATTGTACTGTATTTTAGCTCAGCAGAAACTGAGGGGCCACCATATTAATATTCTTATTCAAGATTTCCTAACTGGGCTGCAGGACCTCAAGTTGGTGAGGATTGTTAACCTAGAGGTGTTTTAGACTTCAGGCCAGGACCTGACAGTGGCTTACATTCTCAAATGTGGCCATAAGAGCTTGTCACAAGCCTGACCTGGAAAAGCATCTAATCTATGGAGGTGATGCTAAAGGGCAGCTCACTGGGTGTTTTGAGCTCTCTGAGGCTTCTTGGCTTTACACTCCATCTACCTGCTTCCCTGCCTAACTGCCATAGTCATTCTTCCAAATGAGTTTTCTTTTTCCTCCTTAGATCACCAAAGTTAAGGGTCAGTTCCATGCTGTCCTGCCTGAGCCTAAAGGGACTTTTAAGCAAGTGATTTTGCTCCAAGTAGCTACAAGCAGATTAGGCAAGAAGGGAGGGAAGGAAAGAGAGAGAGAGGGAGGGAAAACAAAGGCTAAAAGGGAGAGAAGATAGAGGGAGAGGGTAAGAGAAAAAACATGCAGGGAAGTGATTGGAAGCCATCAGACAAGTTCTAAAACCCTATTTGGTACTCAAGAAATGTGGCCAGGATTTCTCCAGTTACTTCCTTTGCTCTTATTGGACTCTAAGGACTGGATTTGTCATGTCTGCTTCCCAGAGCATCCTCCTTGGCAGGCAGTCCCTGCAGCCCCATACTGAATTCCCAAAGGCTCGACAAGACACATGTTCATGGCTTCTTTTCACTTCTGTCATCACTCAGTTGTCTGTCATGCTTCCTCTCCAAGCTCCTGCCAAGCCTGACTTTCAAATTCTGTCACTATGTTTGACTTCTCCCCGAATGCCAGGCCTCTGTTTGCTCTAGTTCTAGCCAGTTCCTGGGTATCTCTCCTACTACGTGCCAATAACAACCTAAATAAAATATGTACAAATGTGAAATTCATTTTTCTTTCCCTGAATTTGCCTCACACACCTTCAGTTGCCAGTATCTGTCCAGGCACCACCACCATCTTCCTCCCAAAGACTGAGTGCAGCACTATCTTGGCCTCTTCCTCCCAGGTACCACACTCAGGATTCTCTTGAATCAACCCGCATCACTTCTGCCTTTGTGATTTACTCTCCACTGCTTCCCAGCACCCAATTTGAACTCTCCCTCACTTGTGGGAGAATTGACACTGCTTCTGTCTCTTCCTGTCAGAGTCTCACTTAGCCCCTCAGTAATTTCCTGACCAGAGCTGGTTGGTTAGGAATCTGAAGCCTCCTTCCTATGCTAGCATTCTTTCACGTTCCCACCTTACTCTTCACGTGCTTCCTACTTTTAGCTGCTGAACCATGAAATGGGCCTCATATGTGGCCACAGTGTTTGGCCTCTGAGTTTTACAAATGTTCTGAAATGCACTTTTCTTTCTCAGATCTCAAGTCCAAATTCCTCTTAAAAATTAAAGAGCACCCAAGATTCCTGAACCTCAGGAGGGTCCTGCCCGCTAGCTGATCCATTTGTAACTGTTGATCTGTGCCTTCCTTGGGATTCCCTGTAATCATCCCAATCACATATGTCTGGGAGAGGAAAGCCCAGTATGTCTCCCACAGCATCGCGTGCTACTGAGCCAAGCCCATGGCAGGTTTCTGCCAAATGAACAACGCTGAAAACACACCTTCCATCCTGTCCTCTAACAGGGACAATAAGAAACGTGTAAGAAGATCACAGGTTGGTTTCTGATCTCTAGGAACTTCTATTTCATCACAGCAACAGGCCTAATAAATATTAGCAGCGTGGGAGCTGGACAGCACGACCAATGAGAAGATACACCATGCACACGTCTTGATATGTTGGACAGCAGGTCTTACTTTATATGTACTGAAATTGGACACTAGTAATTCATATGCTTTGGATAGATCAAGAGACTTTCAGGACAAGGAAGTATCAAGATAATACCTCACAAGGGCCAGAACAAGTGTGGCTTGTCCACACGAGGGTGAATCAGCTGCTATGATTAGGAAAGGGAAAAGCACGGCATGGAGTCCTGCCGGCAGTTAACCATGGCCCCGCAGATGCCAGAACAAGGATTAAGTGCCTCTTAGGATCACTCCATTTAATCCAAGTGACAGCCTGCAAAGTAGATATTATCATTGCCAATTTTATAAGCAAGGATGTTGAGATTTGAGGAGATTAAATGACTGGCTAAGGTCACACAGGATTAAGTGACAAAGCTGGGTTCTGAAAGTGGCATCCACTCATGGTACTACGATGTCTCCTCCAGAGCAAAACATAAGCGTCTCAGGGTGATTTCTTCATGAAGGCAGACTTCTTGGATTTATGACTAATTCCTTAAGCACAATGCATAATGAGATCTCAATAGGAGTAAATTTACTCTGAAAGCAAGGTGGTTGTCCACCTAAAAGAAGAGAGACTGGGCAGGCAGATGAGTACCCTGGAGGAAATGACAGAGGTCCGCCATTGGATAGCATCTCCAGGCTCAGAGGAAGCACAAAGACTAGAGTCTGGAATCAAATCACCCTGCTCCTGTCTACTTCAGTTACAAAACAAGGAACAAGCTCCTACTAAATACAGATATTCTATAAGGAAAAGTCTTACAGAGTGATGATGGGTGAGAAAGAAAACAACAAAGGAAATATACCTGGTCTCATTGGCACACCGGATCTTGCAGCCTTCCTTAGGAATCACCAACCCCAGATGCATTCGGAGCCTGCAGTTTGTGGGTCCTGTGTGTGGCCACACATGAGTTCCAGGGTGCATGATGGAATATTTGATCTGCACAGAAAGTATGATACATGATCATCCATTTATCAAGGTGTGGGGAGCAGTAAAATAAAGTCACAGTACAAAATTACTGTGACTCACATTAGAGTCTTTGCACACCGTGGGATTTATGTGCACGGCTGCTGTACTCATGATGGAACTAAAAAATAATCACTCAGATTTTCTACAAAGCAGTAAACACTCAACATCCTCCACTTCAATTGAGCACATGAAATTATGTTTCATTAAAAAGTGAATGACGGCATCCATAGTGCCAACAGAAATAACTGTCACCTTGTAAATGTCAGCTCTACTTCCTTCCTGACAACAAACTGCTCTCCTATCTCTGAAAACACTCTTGGTACCTGTCCTCTCCTGCATCCTGTAGTCTCAGAGAACTTTTCTAGTAAAGCACAGGTTTTAGGAGCTCCTTTACAGGCGTTCTCATTCTTCCTTCCTAGAACAAAGCATGATAAAAAACCATTGTGAGAATGAAATCACAAGCCTGGTACTCTAAGGTGTACCTATAGCCACAGCAAATCTGGAAGTTGAACTAGGAGATCACCTGAGCCCAGGAGTTCAAGGCCACCCTGATCAACATCATGAGACCTACTGAAACCAACTAATCAATAAAAACCACATTGTAGTAAAGCTTTAACTCATCTTACTGAACCACATGTGATCTGCACAGTTACCTTCACAGTAGGAATGTGAAAGCCAGGTAAATGTAAGAGGAAGAGTGTTATGGGCAGAATAAGATACTAAATTCTTAATTCATTCAGGGTTCAACTATTCCATTAAGGCTGTCTGATGAATAAAACAGATGTTGAATACTTATTTTTCCCTCTGTGGTAGGAAGAAAAATGGCCACTTCCAAAGATCCACATGGTAATTTCAGGATCATGTGGACATGTTATATTATACAGCAAGGAGAAAATATTGTTGCAGTCAGCACTGAGATTTCTAGTGAGCGTATCTTAAAATAAGGAGATTATCCTGGATTAACTGGAGGGGCCCAAAGTAATCAGTGTCCTTAAATATGGGAGAGCAGGGCAAAAGATTCAGTGATACAAGTTAAAACAGAATGCCCAGTCATCACTGGTTTTAGAGACAGAAGAGGGACATAAGACAAGGGCCATGGGAAGTTTCTATACTCTGAAGCCTATTGAAGGATGATCCCTTGATTTTAGTCAGTGAAATGCATGGCACACTTCTGAGCCCCCATATTTCAAGTCACTACTTTATGGTAACTTGCTATAGAACCTACAGGAAACTAATACATCCCCTAAGAAAGGAAATTACCTTCTATTCTATACTAAACCCAAAATGCATGTCTAAGACTACATTAAAGAGTTACCAAAACATTATTTTCAACAGGAATTTCATGTCTTTTCCAATCTACAGACCATTCTTTAAATGTTGATAAAAATGACATTTAAATGAAGAGGAGTAGGTCTTGGAGTGATATGATTTTCTATGAGTAATTGTATCAGGAACACAGATTCTGGGGCATAGTCTTCAGCAGCCTGGGCCTTGTAAAATTTCTCCATACTCTACTTGGGAAGATGTGGTCAGATGCATATGGCATCATTTGCTTTCATGAGGGAGGAAAACAAGGAGTTTATTCAAAAGACAGATATATTTTAATTCCTTGTTCTATGAAAGAGGCTCCATCCAAAGATGAGTTTTTCTTTAACGTTAGCTGTGCACTAAGATAATCTGAAGTTGAAAATAAAATCATTCATAAGAATACAACACAAAGAAATTTGCCTCAGTCAAATGGACCTCTAGACTTTAGGAAACAGTTTACATATCTCTATTCGCTACTTACAAATGAACCTTTTGCTTATTGTGTACAATGTTAGTTACTATTTTGAGTTATTAACAGAGTATCCCAAATGAGCCAAACAATTAGTGTCAGTTTGAAAGAATAATACATAAGTATATATGCACCATAGCTTTTAAGTCCAGCTTTCCATCCCTTCCTATAGGAAGGGCCTGAGGAATTTCTTAGCCTAGGGCTTGTGCTGTTCAGGCTGTGGCTGAGTAACGTCCAGCAGCTTGAAGAACAATCAGACCAGTGGGACTTCCTGAATGCACAGAGGTGAACATGTGCCACTAAGGGGGACTAGTGTGCCTTATCTAAGTGACAGGTAATGCAAGGGCTGCCAAATGGATGGATCCTGTCAGAAGGACTTGGTCAGTTCTCAGTTAGAAAGCACCTCTAGGCCTGTAGGCACATAAAAAGAAGATATCCCTATCTAAAAAAGCCACACCCTGAAACTTAGTAAGCATTCTGAACAAGTCGTTCAAAACGTTACAGGTTCTAGACCATATTTTGGATCATAAATGCTCAACTGGCAAAATCTATGCAAATATTCCCAAATCTGAAAAACTAAAGTTGGAAACATTTCTGGCCTCAATTATCAGGGATGATACTCAACCTATTTTATCTTTTGTATTCTGAAAACACAAATTCTCTCTCAGGGGCAAGTTGTGCAATAGAGGTTCAACATTTGTGGACTGCAGTTTGTAGTTTTAAGTATCCTTACATGATTGGAAGGGTCTAGGCAATGTAAAGTTTCCATGGTGCTCACCATGGCCAGATGCTTAGAGTGATGCACCTGATGGTCATTGCATCTAGGCAGTCACGTTGTTATTCCACAGAGGAGGAACTGATTGACACCCAGAGGAATCACACAGTAATGGGCAAGCAGAGAGCTGGGAATTCCAATCCAGTCTTTTAAGTAAGACTCAGGACCACCTCTTTATTATCGTTCTTACTAATATGCTACTGTTACATAGAAACAAGGTGGCATCCCTGTCCTATACTGGGCAACTGTGTGCCAGGTCTTTCCTCCATGGTAAAAACCCCATATTTAATGTACTATTTCATTGCTTTATTCAGATGAGATTTAGGTCATACCCACATCATATGGCTGAAAAGAATCATTCAGGACTGTAACCTGGGATGTAGTTTCCAAATCCTACACTTTAAAACACAGTTTCTTATTTGGATTTGGATAGATCATGGTTTACAAGGCAGGGTGGGGAGCCATTCAACTGACTCTAGGTAACTGAATGAGGAATGGCCAACCCTGGCAACTCAGTGACTTTGCTGCTGTTTTTATTGTTTCTCACCAAAGTTAACTCTTAAGAAGTAGCAAACTTGGTTTCTGTGGGAAAATGGCCCAGAAAGAGATCTAACAGTCAATGCAGAAATAAAAGAGTAACATGTCATTTGCATATAAACATACTTTATCAGGGCTATTCACAGAGCTAGAGATGGATATATTCCTAAAATTCAAGGCTCTCTTACTGAGATGACAAATTCCATCTTGCATGACAACTTTAATCAATGGATAGGGGCTGCCCAGAACAACAGTGTAATCCTCTATGACCGTGGCTTCCAAGCCCTGCTTGCTAAAGTACAATTTCTCATCTTGTCACATGATGGACTACAAAGGATGGAGGATCAATTAGCACCATTTTTCGTGGGCTCTAGAATGAACACATGTGGCATATTTTCTGTGTATGTGAGTCACTGTTAGTGACAAGAAAGAGATCAACTGAGCTACCTGGAAAAGATACTTTCCAAAGTGTTGAGCCACTGGCCACTTGTTCGGTACACTTCAGGGGGTGGGCTTTGGTGATGCAGCTGTCTTTGATTAATTTCTACCCACAGTCCTGTAAGTAACCCCAATAAAACTCATTGGTTTACCAAAAAAGTCACATAGCAATTTAATATATTTATTCATTTAGAGCTTAGGGAATCACACACAGGGTTCTGTATACCCTAGGCAAGGGCTCTACCATTGAGGCAGGCTCCCTAGTCCTACACACAGCAATTTGAAAACATATTTTATTTATATTTGCCGATTCTATCCTTTGTCAATGCTAAAAAATTAATCATTTAAAAAATGCAAGAACTGAGGGTATAGCTTCATGGTAGATCATTTTCCTAACAAATGTGAAGACCTGGGTTCAAATCCCAGCACTACACATACAAAAGAGAATAAAGTATCAATTATAGTACTTGGAGACAGTATCAGTCTACTAGAACAATACAACAAAGTACCACAGACTGAGTGGCTTAAACAACAGAAACATGCTCATTACACACACACACACACACACACACACACACACACACGCATCTAAATTATTTTGAATAAAATAATTATGAAATGAAATGAGGACATAAATTCAGTCTTTTAAAAAAATTACTCAAGGGAAAATTACATGCATTATAGATTAAGCACCCAAAGCTGTATCTATAGATTCACTAATAGCCTGAAAATGCTTATATTAATAAAGAATGGAAATAAATTTTCTAAGGTTGTTTCAATCAATATGTTTATTAAAACAATTAAAAATTAACAAAAAGAACTAGAGGAGGAAGAAAAATTATAAATATGGAATTATAAAATTGTCATAAGAACAATTTTATGAGCTTCTTAAAAGAACAGAATTGATAAAATTTTACTACAACTAAAAATGAAAAAGAACATGCAAATTCTTCTCAGTGAGAACTTAATAAAGATATTGAAAAAGTAAAAACCACAAGAAATTACACTAAGCTGCTCACAGAAATTTAGTTTTAATCAAATTACATGAAACTTAAAAGTCTAATATTGCCTCCCAGCCAATAATTACTTCTACTCTTTATTTTCTTTATTGCTTCATGCTTTTACATCCATGTAATTCTTTAAATATTTCAATGTTGTCAAAGCACCTTTTTTATTAGCAACTACTGTTTCTGCAGACTAAGTTTCTGCCAGGGTGCATTCTGCTCTGCATTGCCTCAGGAGGCCTAGCAGCTTTGATGGAACTGAAGTATCAGAGGAAAACCTAAGTGTCAATGGTATTCAGCCATCCTCTTGACACTGCAAATACAAATCTGCATATTGCCCACCTACAGACACTGTAGCTTCCTTATAATACACCTCATTGGTAAATGCTGACAATCACCTGAGGTTATATACAATCTGTCTGATGGATATGTTCTTGAAAATGTTACTCAAGAAGTTCTTCCTATGTACAATCCACTGTCTTTATGTGTCCTTGAAGTAAGTTGATTGCTTATTGTATTCTGACCTTTCTGTTTAGCTAAAACTGTGCAGAACACACTGTCTGATCATCAGAATGAATTTACTTTTGTATAGCTATTGATTAAAAAAGAGGGGGCGCAAGTTGAACTTTCAAGAGAATTAGAAAATCCTTAAGGTTCAGTGTTTGTCATGCAAAAACAGATGAATATTAACTTAGTGATCACAGGCATTGTGGCTTCATGCAAGTGCCTGAGTGCCTCTTCTGATTGACTAAGATCTCTGAACTGGAGTGACCTTATTCTGACTTTCAGCATCATCTGCATTTTATAGAAGCAAATAAGACTCAGATGCTCCTTCCTAAGTGATAGGCACATGGTGGACTTATACCTATACAGTGGGGGGGGGGTACTGTGAATGACATAATATTTAACAGGGAAGATTAGAAATATTAAAATATTTATACATTTATCCAAATAGACATATGTATACACACAAATACATATAGTTGTTTAAAGACAGATGTCTTTTAAAACAATGAGCCTCCCCCCCAAAAAAATTGGTTTTCTAAGCAGTCTCCTTTAAGTCCTGGCATCCCAGCTCTGGGCACATCACTAGAAGACCCTTGTTACCTGTCATTTGCTCAATGGATAAAGAGAGTAACCTAGATGTCAAGGGCTCACCTTGCTGCCACAGTGTGAACTGACTCCAGTCCCCCTTCTCCCGTAGGTTTTCATCTTCAGGCAGGAAGAGGCCCTTGGTTGTATCCATCACCGCGAGGCCTTCATCACGGATTGACTTCCAGTTTCTTTCTAAAGACTTCAAAGAAAATTTTTATTTCACTGAGATGAAAATATGCCCCACAGAGCATCTTAAAGTGGCATTCAGTTTCTTATTTGTTTATTTAATAAAGAAAAGAACATTTTGCTCTCATCTAGATTGCTTATTTCAATTTACTTTGGAATCTCTTCTCAACTATATTAAAAAAGAAAGAAAACCTAGTCCTAGAACCCTTGAAAATTATTCCCTCTATAATTGTTTGTTTCATAGCTTGCCTGAAGTTTCCTCCCTCCAGTCCTTCTTCTCTCCAGCCCCAAAAGACACTGATCCTGCTGACAACACACTGCAATAATTCCAAGTCCTGCTTCAGCATCCACAGCGGAACACAGATCACAGATTTCATTCTAGCAGAGTCCTTTAAAAAGATGCCATTTGACATGGCAAATATGAATCACACTTTTAACGAGACTGGAAAACTGTCCATTGGAGCAGAATGCATTATAAGATCAACAGTAAAACACAAATGTTCTGGTGTTTAGATCTCAGCAAACAAATATGTTCCTGACATTTTATGAGGTTGCTTAGCCTCAGCTAGGGCTTGATAAGAGCAGATTCAGTGACTGATCTTTCAGGCACTCACCACCAGGACACTACACTGTGTATCAGGGGTAGGGTGGTGGTGAGAGGGGGCAGTGGAGACAAGCAGGCAAGCTGAGCTTCCAGAGGAGCCCCCAGCAGAAGAGAAGAAGAAAGCTTCCTACGGGAAGCAGGAAAGAGTTGAGCAGTTGAAAAACAGGACCAGATGAGAAGCGGATGAACTATGTGAGGATATGGGATCGCAGACAGGCAGGAACACACAAGTTGATGTCAACAAAGATCAGGGATCAGCTATATCTGGAGGGGCTTAAGAGAGGACACTATAAATAATAAATCATAACCAGCAGTGATTCGATACAAAATATGAAAATAATTAGTACTTTCCAAAAGTGGGTTGAGCTGACTTGTAAAGCAATATCTCTTTAAAAAATATTTATTATTTTTATTTTATATGTATGAGCTTGCACATGTGTAAGTGCACCTATGTTGTGCAGTCTCTGCAGAGGCCAGAAGAGGGCATTGAATCCCCTGGAACTGAAGTTACAGATGGTTGTTAGCCACCATGTGGGTGCTGGGAATTGAACCTGGGTCTGCTGCAAGAGCAGCCAGTGCTCTTAACTGTTGAGCCATCTCTCCAGCCCCTTAAAATAGTATTTTTTGAGTTAATCAAGCAAATAGACCTCTTATTGGATAAAAAGAAGCATGAGATATTGTTTTTACTAAATCACGTTCTCTGAATTCTCTGGAATATAGTAAAAAAAAATTCGATTAAGTCAGGATGACTATACAAGTAGAAGTCTCCAAAAAACACAGACATTCTCAGATTTGTGTAGAGCTGATGCCAGCCCAGCGTGAGCAGCCTAACACTGCTGCCGCATACAGTTTTAAACTACCTTCAAAGTTTCCCCACACGCTGTGCACTGAAACCTGATATGTAAACAGACTGTCCTTACTCTGGGAGCAGGTAGGTGAATCTCAGCCAGTCACCAGATGCCAACTGTTTAAACCACATTCAAAAGTGACAGACCCAAGTTGTAACCAACAGGGCTGCCTCTACCTTGCTTCCATTTTCTGAAATTCACTTCCTTTTCTCTGGCTATAAATACAATCTGCTCTGCTTGTGGGGTAGAGAATTCTGAGCCACCAAAGGCAGACTACTTCTGGATTCTCTAATCTGTAAGGCTAGATTTGCTCTCTCTTGTAGCATCAGTGAGCAGTTTTATGTCACGTGAACACATTAGGGCTATTAAAATATTGCAGGCCAAGAGATTTTGGTTAGAGATTGAGTTGATAATGCTATTTCTGTGAAACCTACCATCACCTTGTGTGAACTGGTGCACCTGTTCCTGTCGTCACCCTGCTTGCGGTGGTGCTAATTACTTGTCTTTCCATGTTCAACGCTCAGTCCAACAGCCACTTTTCCCAAGTCAGAAGTTTATAACTACTGAGCTAAAGCTTTCACTGAAATAAGAAGACTCACTTTGGTTGGCCTCCAGATCGAGAGAGCTGGATGATTTTTGTCAAGAATGTCAAGATCATGGGAAAGAAGAAAAAGTGCACCCCAGGACTTTGCAGTCCACTCACATCGCAAATGCACCTAAATTGCCAGTACTCCCTGATGATATGGTAGCTTGTTCAAGTTGCTAGATAAATCTGTTAGATTCTTGTTAAACTGTCACACAGACAAGGAGAGACTTACCTCTCTAACACACGAAATTACTTTCCAAATGAGGTTACTGGAGCCTTATAAGGGCAAGCTTTTGCTCTCTTCCCCTACCCTGGTATTTTAGAAATTCCTTTCATTTCTTTTGAAAGCTGATTTTAAGGGCATGGTTGGGAACAGCTGATCTTTTGTTACTAAATAGGGCACAAAGCCCTAGGGGAAATGTTAAAGTGATTGTATCACTCAGTATAATTTAAATTTTTTACTTAAGAACAAGCTTTTGCACACAAATGTCACCCTGCACCTTTCACCCTTAGTCTCCTAGGCAAGTGTTGCTAAGGTCCTTTTCCATGGGTAGCAATGATCCTCCTTTTTTCTTTACATTTTATTATTCATTTACTTACTTATACTGTGTGTGTGTGTGTGTGTGTGTGTGTGTGTGTGTGTGTGCGCGCGCGCGCACACTACAATGCCTTAGGTTAGAGGACAACTTGAGGGAGTCATTTCTTTCCTTCAACCATCTGGGTCTCGGGAATCAAACTCAAGTCACAAGCTTGGCACCAAGCACCTTTATTGCTGAGGTACCTGGCCCTCCTGGTTTTTCTTTTAAAGCATTGCTTTCCCTTGTGTGTGCACAGTTGAGCTGCATGACAGTTCAAGCACTAAAGGAGCAAAGCAATGCAGAGAGGGGTCCCTGTATCTGACTCCAAACACAAGTGCTAGAGTGCCACACATATTCTCCATCTGTGATAGTTAATTTGGTTGTCAACTTTACTGGACTGAGACATGCCTACAAAACTGTTAAAACACATTTCTAGGACTGTCTGTGCAGATGCTTCTGCAGATGACTGGCACATGGGCCAGTGTACTGAATGGGAAAGATTTGCCCTGAATGTGGGTGGTACCATCTAATGGGCTGGGAGCCTGGATGGAACCAGGCAATCAGGAGGAAGCTTGTATATTAGACTTTTCTTTCTTTTTCCTCTTCCTCTCTTTCTGTTTTCTCCCTCCCTCTCTTCCTTCCTTTCTTCCTTCTCTCCTCCCTCCCTCCTTTCCTTTCTTTCGACTATACTTCTCTTGAGCGTGTGAGTTTTCTGCTGTTGCCACTGTGGGAGAACATCAGACTCCAGCTTCTGAACTCATTTGCACCAGCAATTGAACAAAAGGCTTAGCCCTGCAGTATTCCACAGCGGCTTCAGCACTAGTCCTTTTTATTGAGGCTTCCAGTTTCTTGCACTGAGAAGCTATTGGTTTTCACAGCTCTCCAGCCTGCAGAAGGCCATTGTGAGGCTATCCAGTCTCTTGTAAGCCAATCTAGCATGTCCCTGTATAATTGTACATGCCCTCTATTGGTTCTCTTCCTTTGGAGACTACTAATCTACTAACCAAGAGCCACAAAGATTTCTGGTTTATTTCCATTGTAACACAGCAACTCGGCAGTTTCTCTTTTGAGTCCAATACTTTGTCAACACAATTTATAGCTTGAAGTGTCCCCAACCCTTCCAGGGAAAAAACTTTTCACATAGAGAAGGCAAAATGACTCTGGGAATGGTTGTTGAACAGTCTACTGACCAGAAAAGCTAACACCAGAAAACACTGTGTTGTTTCCCCTCAGCCATTACTAAGGCACTAGTGGAAAAAAGACAGTCACACATAGCCAGAGATTCTATACTGTGGTGGGTATTGGGGTCTGTTACCCCCTAGAGCCCTAAGCAATTGTGGGATACCACAGGTACCACTCATGGTTGTCACAGAGCATTCACCAATTAAGGGAACTGTCAGGAGCAGGTACATCCCCAGTGCCTGGACAGCCTTCTCCACAGTGCACAGAGAATCTGACTTAAAGGCAGCTCATGCCCATAGCCAGTGTGGGAAACTGAATGAACCACAAGATGGCAGCAGTGAGCCCTGACACACAAAAAAAAACCCCAGTGATACACCCATCTCAGCCCCCTCAGAGTTCAAAAAACACTGAAGTACACCAATCATAACCAAAGATGGAAACATCTTTCTACCGTATGAATCGCATGAATGACTGAGGGAGTTTTCATCTTTGGAATGACAACAATAGTTGTTTTTTGTTTGTTTGTTTTGAAATGTATGAGTGTATTGCCTGCATGTGTGTAAGTGCACCCATGGGAGGTCAGAAGAAGACGTTGGATTCCTCTGGAACTGCAGTTACAGACAGTTGTTAGCCACCATGTGGGTCCTGGGAATTGAACCTGGGTCCTCTGCAAGAACACCTAGTGCTGAGCTATCTCTCCAGTCCCCACAATAGGGTTTTAAGGAAGAAATGTGGAAAGAGACCTGGAAATATTTTTTAACTACACAGCAAGGAAAAAAGTACAAAGTTCAAATGGTTACAGGAGATTAAAAAACAAACCAAATTACACTGTGCAAGTGTGTATGTTTCGTATGTTACGAAGTTGTGCTGCTACAACACAGCATAACTGACAGAGTGGCTTATAACAGTAATTTTATTTATTCAGTTCTTGGTATTGAAAGTCCAAAATCAAGGAATTGGAAGATTTGGCGTTCACAGCTCGCAGGTGGTTCTTTCTCAAAGGAAGCACACATGGTGGAAGAGGGAGGGCTAGGAGGAGGCTGGCAAGAGCTGGTCTTCAGTATCTAAGCCCCTCTCGACAGTCCCACCTCTGAATGTCTTCACCTTGGGAGTCAGGGACTCAGCAAATGGCCGTGGCAGGGACACAGCATCCAGGCCACCACAGCATGTTGGGGTAGGAGGGCAAGAGGGAATGTGAATTGTTTTCATCATCCC